AGGTTTCGAAGGTCTCTACCCGATGGTATATGGCTTCTTAATTGTTGTTGAATCACCTTGTATATTATTGTATTTTACATTAGATGCAAAATAATAATAATTTGAATCTTCTACTAACGTAAAGCAGTCTATGTACCCACATGCAACAAAACTTTTATATATAATATGTACATGCATACTTATAGTTACATGGGTACCCATATTAGCTTTTGATATTTCTATAGGTAATAAAGTTATAAGGTGAATTACCGCAAGTTCGCATGCTTTTAAATTGATTAATTGTTTTGCGATTTAAAATCATATTTTCTATCTAATATTATTTCCTTATAATCATTTAAATATATAGCTTTTGCTCACTGAATACAATATGATATAGTATTAACAAAAATAGGTACTTATAATTTAATAGTATTTCTGATAAGAGCATTCATTAAGTAAGTGAAACTAAGGAAAAAGATTGCATTATAATTTAGACAAATAATTAATATTGATAATAAATTGAATAATAATCAAAAATAATTGCTTAATCATTATTTAATTTATTATCAAAATTTAATTGTACATCTATTATCTATCTTCTATAACATAGATGTACTACAGGCTATAATAGACATACCTAGTAGCTATTCATAAGTCAGTGATTTAGTTTTTTCAAAAATTGTAATTTTCTGTCATAGAAAAACTATAAAATAAAATATAATTTGTAAAAACAACTTCAGAATTTTTGGGGTTTTTAAAAAGGTAATGGTAGGCAATTTTTAAATTTAATTCAACTATAGCATTTTCTAAGAAATTATTGGAAGACGGTTGGTAATTATTGTATGACAGTTTTTCTCGTTTCACTTGATACCAATTTTTTTGCGTAAGCATTCATAGTATCAAAATATTAAAATAAATTCACTATTTTTACGGAATCGCTGTGACGATTTTTATCACAATAGAGCTGTGTATTTTTCGTACAGCGTAAAATATACTGAAGATTTTAAAAGCAATTCTTTACCTTAATTAATCTAATTCATGTTATAGTATTTTTTATTTTCTTTTTTCAGAATTTATAATAAAAAAACTACACAACATAATATACAATAGTTGTTTGTATAACACAACTAGACTTATAATAGAACTCACAATATAAATAAAAGACGCGGCAGATAATTCTTTTCTTACAAAAATAATAATTCATACTTTGGCACATGTTGTACAATATGCATTATACAAAAGTGTTTAATTAATATTTATAAAATTTTTTGAATGAAACCTTTATTCATCAACTTGTTATTAACCTTTATTGAGCTTGATACCGTTGATCAGTTGCGATCGTGTAAAATAATACAGAAATTTACAAAATAAAAATATAACAAATGCGAATACATTTATCAACTGATGACTGGTGAGTGGTTACTCACACTTTATATAGGTATGTATACAAAATATTTTGAACATTTAACTGTTATCATGGAAGTCATATGAATTTTAGGAATATTGACGATCAAAATCGCCTAGAGGAAATACTCTAACAATTAAATAACAAAACTGTAAAATTATTTGAAGTTATACAATTAAAAAGTTTAAACATTTTTTAATATTATACTCGCAATTAAATAAATTTTTCTTCACTTATTATTTAATTACGTGAGATACTTTTAAATATGTGAGTTTATATTTAAAAATAAACAATAAAAAAATTAATGAAAAAAAAAAACAAATAGTACAATTACTTCTAGTATAAAAAAAATGGTGTTTAAAAAAACGTTTAATTTATGAAAGTAATACTATTGTTATACTGAAATATTCAAATATTACGCGGTGCATACAAACATGTCTGAAAAATTCCAAACTTCAGGAATATAGTAAGTAGTAGGTAGGTATGTACAATTTAGAATTGACAAATAAATTTCTTTGTTGAATACAGTTCAGAACAATTTACAGTTTTATATAAGGTGTACAGAATAATTATAGAATAATTTACAGTTTTATATAAGGAGTATATTAACAAAAGAAAAGCTTTATAATTCACTTTCGGGATCGAGGCGAAAAGAACTGTTTTTTTTTTTTAAATGTGCTATTTAACAAATTAACTGTTATAAAATGGCTAATTTTGTTAGTCTACATAGGGGTTCATAATGGAATTTATATATGTATTGTAGTTTAGATTTTCTACAGCAATGGTATTAAATATTTTTGTAGCAATCTTATTGATTTTAAAATATTTGTATAACACTTTCATTTAACTTATTACATACTCGTATTATAATTTTCCAGGCTGTAATGCATATAAGTAAATTTATTAATTATATTTTTATGCACAAATTTTCACTTGAACTATTAAATCTCATATACAACACAAGCATCCAATTATATAACATTAAAATAGACAAGGTTTGAGTGTTTGTTGTAGAGATGTTTTTTCAATAATTGTATTGAAAAAGATGTGTGTATAATAGTATTCAATGCACATAACTATAATATATGCATGTGCCACCCTCTGGCCATATAAAATAGAATAATTTCAAATTTGTTAATTGAGTTTTTTGATATTGGGTTTTTACAAACACCGTTTTGTTAGTACGTAATTTAATTCAAGAATTGAGAAAAAAATTAAATTTTGCAAAAAAATTCATTAATTTTCATTAAAGAAACAATCTTGCACATACATACATACATTTTAAAAATATCTATACAATATTTGTTAAAATAATTTTATATATTATTATTATGTATTTACATATCTACGAAATCATCACATACATAATGACAAATTGTTAACTTTTTAAATTGAAATTTCTATTGTGATCCAATTGAGAATAAATTTTAATACTTATAGTATTGAATTTTTGCCTCGTAGCGCACATTAATTTAGTATAAACATTGGTTTATTCAAAATTTTGCTTGAGAAGTTTTCTTTTTTTAACTAAATCAAAATTATTTTGATGAAATAGATTGAAAGCCTCAGTTTTGGTGTTGAAAATCAAAATTTGAATACTTTGTGTACTTTAATAATTAATTTTCAATAAATAATCATAATTTTTCAGTAATATATTTTAAATAAGTTTAATTATGTATCTCATATTTTCAAGAGTACAGCAGGGAGATGGAAGTTTCAATTCCTATAGTGAAATGTTCTTCTTTTATTTAAATTTTCGATTTTTTCCTCAATAAATCATAAATTTTCCAGAATTTCGTATTTCCAGAAAAACTTTCAAAAATATGCGTTACTAACACAAATTTTCTCCCTTCTTCCCAAATAATAATAAACGCATATTGCATAGGGAATGTATGTATGCACTGTATAATTCATAATAATTCAAGTTCAAAATTTCTCATTTTAAATTTAAGTCCCCAAGACGATTTGAAATTACATCTAACATAAATGTTATATTATACAAAATTAATATGCAACATAAATATAATATTATATTTTCAATTTTACAATAACACACATTGGTTATATAGTTATTTTTTAAGAACAGTAATCGGGAACGCATACAATATTGTACGGCTTATTTTCCTATGGCTGCGAATCACCATTAAAATTACCATTTCATTGTATTCTAATAATAACAAATATATATTGCAAATATAATTTATTTCAATAGAATGCAATAATTTATTTTAATGCGTACTAAAGTAAAAATTCATAGAACGCAGACATTTAGTTTTTTTTTTATCAACCGCACTGTGTATAATAAGGGTAGTATGGAGATCACAACAAAATCCTATTTTAATTCATTCATTCAAAACTCATAATTTTCAAATGAAATTTGTTTCACATCGTGATTTTCTTTGAAAATGATAAATTTGTTTTTTACGAAAATGTGTCTGTTATTCGGTCTTCTCGTGCCCTGTCGTATATTCTTTAAGCTTCAACAATTTTAATAATAATTTATGTCGCAATCGAATTTTATAAATGTGACCACTTTTGTGGTGTCTGACCATTGGTGCAGTGGTTATGGCACAGGTCCTTCAATCGAAGGGTCTCGGATTCAAACCCCGGTCAGGTCACTATAAAAATTATATTCAATATTATATAACTTAATATACAATACTAAATAAATATTATGCAAGAAATTTGCAAATATTCATAATATTCGATATTAATAAACTTAAATATTTAATATAAATAAAAAAAACTACGGCAGGCTAGTCACGTACCTAGTTAACTCTATGACGCTATGAAACTAGGACATTATATCTTGCACTAGCCCTATGCTCCTCCTGGGAGTGGATTAGATTTTTGGAACGGGAATATTACTAAAAATAATTGAATTTTGTATTTCAGTTTAAATACTCTCGCTGAGGTAGGAAGAGAATTTTCTCACCTCAGGATTGCTTCAAGAGTATAATTAAATTAATTTAAAGCATTTTATTCTTAATTTGGCAAAGACATTTTTTAGCGCTGTCGATCATATACTATTCACATAAGATCAGTTTGCTTTTCTTAATTATATAAAAATGTTGCTGCTTAAATTTTATCATGTAGTATGTATTTAATTTTCAGAACTTATACCATTGCAAATAAGAAAATAAATATAGGTAAAATCATGCAAATGTAGAACATTTATATGTACATATATATGCAAAATAAGTATTGGACCACATTCTTATCAATGTTTTATTGTAAAAAAAGAAAGAGAGAAAAAACAACAGAGAAAATTACGAAAGCTTTTATTTTTTTTTTACTTTTCATTTTTATTAAGTCGCGTTTATATTATACAATTTGATTTAAATTCTTATTATATGCCTACAGTGTTTGTATTTATATATGTATGTAAATATTTGTTTGGAAAAGTGAAAAAAAAAATTTTCCCCAAACAAAACTAAAATGTACACAAAAAACAAAATAAAACACAAATTATTGAAATCAGAATAAAAAATTTAATATAAATTCTTTAACTAAAATATTTTAAGATTAGTCAAAGCTTAGCATTTACACCTAACAGTACACACACAGAAGTTCTAATCCTTCTTTAGAATTTAAAAGAGAGTATTAAATAAATTCACTTACATTTCTGTTATACATAATAAAATTCTTTATATAATAACAAAATATAATATAACAATAAATTATTTTTATAAAAAAAAAAAAAAAACTACATAATAAAAATAAAAATGCATTTAAGTTAATTGATAAAATTTAAAATTAAATTTTAAATAATTATTGCTTTAAATAATTTAAATATACGTGGTTGTGATATCTCATTTATTAAAATATTATTTAATTTTTAAATTGAATTTATTTTATTTTTGAACAAAATAATAATAATATAATAATAATTATGTTTGAATTAAGTAAAATATATTTTTTAATTAATTTATTTATGTTACTTATACTACATTATAATGTAAATCTAAGTGCTGCAGCTGTATTTAATAGGAATTTAAAATATGAAGGTTAATATTAAATTTATACATTTAAAATTTTTTGTTATATACATATAACAATATTTAAATATAACAGTAACTCAAATAATATAATATGTACTTAATTAAGTACTTTATATTATATAATATAAATATATGTATATTTATCTCATTTCAAGTATAATACTATACCGCATTGTAATATGTAATTATATTTTATAAATTAATTTGAAAAAAAAAATTTAAATATTTGAGTGAGTTTAAAATATTTTAAATGTTATGAAAATAACACGCATGAAAACCTTATAACATGTGATAATGTGTGCAAAAGTGTGGAAATTGTATACTTTGATAAAAATAATTTTTTTTTTTATTTGTAAAACATTATAATAGCAATTATTTCCTACTGTGATATTTTAGTATGTATAACAAAATAATGTTTTATTCAATTTTTGTTATTATTTTGCTAAATTGTGGTTTCACAGTGCGCGTATTTGTGAAAACTTAACATTTATGGTTTAGAATTATTCAGTTTGTACATTATTTTGATCTTTAACCAGAATATTTTAAATTTCCAAAATATAGTATACTGAAATTTATAGAAATGTTCTATTATAGAATCAATTTAATGCAATAAGTCTATTTATTAGTATATAATACTGTTTTACGGCTAATAATGTAAAATAAATAAACTATTTTAATAATTTTTCGCATCATTCTTTAGCAAATCTTTAACAATATAAGAGAATGAACCAAAAAACTAAAATGGAGGTTTTTTATTCATTTAGCATTGTTCCGCCTCCCTCGGAAACGATTTTTTTCATAAAATTGTCTTAAATATTTTATAATATTTTTATTTTATTTAAAATATGTTTTGTATTCAAATTTTAAATATTTTTATTTTTTATACTTATATTTTCCCACATTTTGCTTTATAATTATCGAAATTTAAATATCAAAATAAATTAAATTTAAAAATATTTGCCTTTAAAGCAAAATTTCATTTGCTTTACACGTGATCCCCTCAATATTTCTCTATTTCTGTCAGTTTATTAAAAGTTCATTTCAGTTCAGTTCAATTTCATCTGTTCAAATAAAGTGTTATTGTGAATGAACGTAATATGGTGTACTTATGTATGTGTATATATATATATAGCTACACAAGAAACTTATCAACTATATAGAGTTGTGAATAAGTCACTTTCCTGAAATAATTAAATTTAAATAAAAGTTAAATTAACATAAATTTTTTCTTAACAAAAAAAAAAAATACATATTTTTTTTTAATATTTTCTTTTGTAAATTAAATTTTTGTATAAAACAAAATTCAATCGTAAGCTGCACTCGAAAATAAAACAATTGCACACGAGTATAAATAATCTTGCCGCAATATGTACTCTCTATTATTATACCGGCTTTTTTAAAACGATATACAAGTACAAATGAATACACATGAAAAGTTTCCTATTTTATTTTAAAATAATCCTATTTATTAAAAATGGATTCAATATAAATATACTTGTATATCATTATTGTTTTATTTTTGCAAAAAAAAAAGTTCAATAACTTAAAAGAAATCAAACTAAATGTAAAATTTTGAGGAACTAATATTGATGATACTATATTTTCAGTGTAGGCACCTAATATACCCAAATATAAGTGTCTAACATTTAAAAGTGATAAGAAAACTAAAATAATAAAATTGCAGACTCGTATATACTGTATAACACTATTTTTAACTTTAATACGAACTTTAAACTCAATTACAATGAAACTATTCAAAAACAAATTTTGAAATAAGTATGAGATACTGCAGTATTTAAAAATAAAAATTCGTGTTAATTAAAATGTGAATAGTATACCGACAAGAGTAAATTATGTTTTAGCTTGCAAGTTGTGTCTGTGATTTTAAAAATTGATAGTTATAAAATATAAACGTTTTACCAATTATAAAGTAATAATATAAATTATTAAAACTGCTACTTCCTATAGTCGTGCATAATTATAGTTTGTAATATTATATTACACGAGACTAGATATAGTTGACTAGATCAACTCTGTGATACTCGTACGAGTTAATGTTTGTAAATGTAGGAGATAATTGACATACATAACCTTTTTTTGCATTGTCTAGTGTTATTTATATACGTAAGTGTTAAGCATATTACTATAAGTATTTATTAGTGTTCTACATATAACGTAGTTACAAAAAACATCCAGACATGGTTAACTCGACTTAGAACTCGGCTGTGATCAGAAACATATAATTGAGTTTTAGCGTTACAAACAGTAAGACAAATTTAGAATCTATACCTTTCGAACATACGTTCGTGCTGGTATAATAATTTTTTCTTAACTATATTTAAGTTTTTATTTAACCATTTGATTTTCTGGGGTCTTATACTGTGATGATTAATAATTAAAATTATAATGATCGGAAAAAATAGAAAATTGTTGACTAAAATATTAGAAAAATTCTTTATTGAAAATTATTAAATGAGCAAACAAAATAAAGTGAACAAACAATATTGAAAGAATTAATCGTTTATGCTACTTAGGATTACAAAAGGTACAATAAATAGAATTGGTGACAATTAAAAAATAATTGGTAATAAAAAACTTTACCACCTAGTCTTTTGTTTTTGAGTAATTAAAATGTATACTAATAAAATTTAGATTTTTAATGTGATCAGCACATAACCGATCGCATTGTATACAAATGAAAAATATTTAGGAATCCGAATAAAATATATTTTGATTAGTTTATAGTAAGAGTTTCGGAAAATTATAGAAATATTCTCTATATGATAATATTATTGCAAATTTTTGGAAAAATACTAAATTTTGTTTCTGGAATTGCCTCATTCTGATTACTTCAATAGTTTTATTGAATTGAGAATTTTGAGAGCACACCGGTATCTTGTTAGAAGTATTTCAATCAACTTATTTCTTCAATATTACTAAAAGAATCGAAAGTATCTACTGATTTCCCTACCCATTTTATTACAAATTAATTTGTGAATACTATTTACATTTAAAACTGTGAATTAAAGTGAATAAGGTAATCGTAATTTTTTGTAAAATTAAAGTTCTCAATTTTAATAATAATCTAATATAAATAATAAAAGATTTAAGAGCTTTGAAATTCAATTGAAATTTTTGTTAATTTTCTCAACTAAATAATTTATACTGTCAAATATAGGAAAAACTACCTATTCTCTATATTTAACGGTAAAATTATAACAATTTTTTTACATCTTCAATTTTATTTTCCCGGTCAAACAATAGCTTGTTACAAATGATTATTTTAATGACCATATAACAATATTTCATTAAATTTTTGCACCAAAATGACCTGTGCAAAAAATGTTATACATTATACCATAAAAATATTTAATCATACATCTTTGTGAGACCATCAATTAAATACAGAAAATAAATACCTAAGCATACGTTACAATCATATATTCCAACCATTTATAAATGAGCAAAATAATAATTCTAAATTAATCGCAATCACTTAACATGGTATTAAATTACTCGCTACTATATTTTTTATTACGGTTTTTAGTAACGTGTAAAATTAAAATAATTATTCTTTAAGTTGTTTATTTTAAAAATAAATTATTTTAATATTATAGATAAGTTTAAAAATTTCAATTTCATTTTTAAGATAGCAATGAAAGCTTTTTTTTTATTTTTGTTATTATTCGTATACAATGGCACATGCTATGTCACATGTCTACAATACAATTTTAGTCGCTTGCCAAGAATAAAATTTACAATGAATAATTTAATAGGCTATAATTTATGAATAAAAAAAATATATGTACGTAGTATGTGTGAATATAAACAAACTAGCAACATATTGTATTTGTGTACAAACCAAAATATAATTTATATATACATACATATATCTACATATGTATATACATTTATTACATATTATTTTATGCAATATTTAAAAACGTTTCTGATTTCTAACATAAATTTCAATTAAGCATTTTTATTATTGTGATTTTTATGGTGATATTTTAACTGCATATACATATACATATACATATACAATATGTTATGAGATTTATAATATGCAATATGCAGAGAGAAAGATGAAACGGTTTTAAATTGAATACATATGTATGTAATATGCAGATACATAAAAACACAATATCAGCCACAAATTATTTCGTACACTTTTCTGACATAAAAGACTGTATTTTAAAATATTTAATGTAATGTTATAGAATTAATAAAAATGTACATTAAATTTTACAGATGAAAAATATTGGCAACAAATTGGTATGAAATATCTGAAAAAACGAATTAATTTATTAGATGGGAGTGAAATACCCAAAGCAAAAAATATTATATTTTTTTTGGGTGATGGCATGGGTATGACAACTGTAACAACAGGAAGAATTTATAAAGGTCAATTAAATGGAAATTCTGGAGAAGATAGTTCATTAGTTTTTGATGATTTTCCAAATACGGGATTAGCAAAGGTATAAATTTTTAATGGATTTTTTCACTTATTACTTTAGTTTTGCATATTAAAAAAATTTTTGTTCACCAATTCAAATCTTTCATATTTATAACCTTTACACTCATAATAAATTAAAAGGTTTGTCGCATGACCATCGCATAAATTAAATATTTGTCGCATGACCATCTTACAACACCTGCATGACTCTATTTTTCTAATATTTGAAGATTTGATTCATATTTAAAGCATACTCTTTTTCTGTATATTACAGACTTACAATATTGATAAGCAAGTACCAGATTCAGCTGGTACAGCAACTGCAATTTTTACTGGTGTTAAAACACGTTATGGTATTATTGGTATGGATAATTCAACAAGTCCATTTGATGCAGAAACTGGTAAATTAGATTCAATAATGAAATGGGCACAAAATGTTAATAAAAGTACTGGTATTGTAACAACAACGCGTATAACACATGCAACTCCAGCTGCAACATATGCATCAATTTATGATCGTGACTGGGAATGTGATTCTGAAATACCAGATACTAGCCGTGGCATTTACAAAGATATTGCTAGGCAATTAGTTGAAAATGAACCGGGAATAAATTTTAATGTTATATTTGGTGGTGGCTTAAAACCAATGGGCAATAAAAATAATGATGAAGTAGCAACTGTTACATTTGAAGGCAAAACTGAAAAAATATGTGATCGTACTGATGGTAAAAATTTAGTAGAAAATTGGTTAAATTTAACTGGAGAAAATAGACAATTTGTCAAAAATCGAGATGAATTAATGAATTTAAATATAAAAAATGTTAGTCACGTTTTGGGATTATTCCGAAATAATCATATAACATATTCAATAGCAAGACAAATTGGTGAACCTGCTTTAAGTGAAATGGTTCAACAAGCAATTCGTATATTATCAAAAAATGATAACGGATATGTATTAATGGTTGAAGGTGGTCGAATTGATCAGGGACATCATCAAAATTATGCTCATGCAGCATTACAAGAGGTTGTTGAATTTGATAAAGCAATAGAAATCGCTTTAAATATGACGAATCGTAAAGATACATTAATAATTGTAACAGCAGATCATTCACATTCTATGACATTTAATGGTTATCCGGGACGTGGGAATAATATTTTAGGTTTCGCCAATAAAAAAAATGTATTTCCGTATGAAACAATAACATATGCAAATGGTCCTGGTTTTTTTAAACATAGATCATCTTTACATACATCATATTTAAACAATACTGAAAATATACGATTTAATACATGGATACCAGTAGAAGAGATTGATTCAAATATAAGAAATCAACCAACATACAAAAATTTAGCTGCATTTCCTATAATCGATGCAGATGAGACCCATGGTGGGGAAGATGTTCCTGTATTTGCTATAGGACCTGGTTCAAATCTTATTGGTGGTGTATTTGAACAAAATTATTTAGCATATGTTATGAGTTATGCTGGTTGTATGGGACCAGCAATGAATTTAGATAAAAGTTGTATGGAAAGAAGTAGTAGTACACAAAGTAAAAGTTCTACTTTAATAATAAGTAGCTCATTATTAAGTATAACATTGATATATAGTATATTAACGTTGTTTTAAGTACAACAATGTGTAATAAGAAAAAATACCAAGAAATGCTTTAATTTTGGATTTTTCCAAAATATTTATTTTATTTGTAAAAATTTGAATTTGAATAAAAGTATTGTAGTAATTGATAGGTAATTTATGTATGTTTTTAATATTGATACTTTACATAGGTGTTAGTTATTAAGAATTAAATTAAATTCCAAATTATATACATTATTATAATATTCCCAGAAAACTATAAGCTCAGTGTTTATTCCACAATCTATATAAAGAACTAAGGACTCCGAAAATAAAGTTTTATATTGTCATTGAAGCAGTTAATAATTAATAAAAAGAAGCAAACCTTATGAACCTAAAAAACTCCATCTTCATATATTTCACGAATTTCACGATTTCCATTATTCTAGATATTTGAAGATTCTTAGAAAGCATATTCAAATATTTTAATGCTCTCCTTTATTTAAAAATACATCCTGTTTACATATTTTATAATTTATAACCTGCAATATTTTGTACGAGTGCATATTATTATTTGATTTTTGGAAAAATTTTCAATTCAACTCTGACCACTACGGTTATTATAAAAAATTGTATTTCTTACTTAAGTAAAAAATTTATTCGAATACATAATATTTCCTATAAACGGAAACATGAAGTTTCCTCTATTTCCGTTCTAAAATAATATTTTGAATATTTTTTTATATTTTTTTTAATAAAATAATTTATTTTTGAAAATTTTTTCGAATGTATATTTAATTATGGGAAAAATGTATTTAGATATTGTAATTTCCTCCGCTCTCCAACAATTTTTATTGAGCTGAGCATCATCAATTGAGAATAATAGAAATTATTACGAGCACTACAAATATTAGATTTAAATTTCCTTCTGACTACAGTTTTAACAAGTATAATTTGTACCAGTTCCTAGTTTAAGATCCTAGTCAAAGTTAGCGGAATTTCATGTGTTTTTTGAGGGTATAGGACCACCGACAGATTTTGGAAGATAGTTACATAATTATAAATTCAAAAAATTAACTGTAAAATTCCGTTTTGTTAGCATTCAAGAAACTGCCAATTTGCTGAGCTCATTATATTAAAGATTCTATATCAATTTTAAACTTTAATTACATATACTTTGCATGTTAGAGGAATAGGATAAACAGGCTTGTAATAACATTAAAAATAATAATATGCAAATAATTATATTAACTCCTGTTCAATTTGAATGAATATGAATTTAAACGGAAATCTTTTCAAAAATTCACCAATAATAATTAATACTCGTAAAGAATCTAAATTCCCAATAAAAATTCATCTTTCCGCTTCTACAAACAAGCAGTATTACCTAATATGTACATATTATGTTTAACTAAAACTCCATTAAAATTTTCTTTTTGACACTCAAAGAAACTTAAGTATTTCATTTCATTTTATTCTGTCTTCTTACATTAATTTCATAAATTTATATAATATGGATTATAGAAAGAACACATTTTGACAAGCAAAGGTGTAAAAATTCATAAATTTTATGTCATTATGTATACACGAGCATAAGTAATTCCAAAAAAAAAATCTTACAACTCAAAACAGCAAATTTACTTTAATTTTCTCTCTATTTATATGAATAAGAGTTGAATTAATGAAAATATGGTTGGAAAAGGGTATAAGGTTGACGTATGTACATAATATTATCCAACAAAAAGAATCTCAATCAATTTAAAATCGTAATATTGGATAAATTTAATTTACAAATAAAATTTATTCATTGAATTTTCGTTTTTTAGTACTTTTCCAAAAAATTTTTTTAAAAAAAATGTTTATTAGTTTCATTCTGTCGTCCGCCCGTCCATGGACATGTTTACAAAGTTTTTGAAGATAGTTGAAATTCCATATGTAAGTTGATCTTTACTGGAAACTTATTTCGGCAGAACAAAATTTTTACCTATCTAAAGAAAATGGAAAGTTTCTTTTATCGTGGCACAGCGTAACTCAGAATTAAATACACAAAATTTCTGCTAAAATTGACCGTTATCTAAGACCAGTTTTTTTCTTCAAATTTTTGATATCTTTTTGCTTCTAGACAATAAGTTGTAGGACTCTGAAATTTAGTAGTAAGAGCCTTTTAGATTTTAATAAGTAGTTTATTTCGTTAAAAAAATTGTTTTGCACCTCCACTTCCTCTCAAGCTATCGGCTTTCGTAATTTATAATATTTAAATTTTGAAACCGTATCTTTCGAAACTGCAACCTTTTCTAAACTTTTATAAATGAAGAAAACTAAGGTAAATGTCATGCTATTAGAAAATATAATTATTTTTCTTAACTTACGTAATTAACCCTTGAATTCAACCACTATTTTAAGGCCTCTTTAAAATCTCATTTGTCTCATTCAAAAAGTATGCAATCTTTGAAATATTTTGGTATATGAAAGAAAGTAATTTCAATAATGTAATAGATTGCTTTTAAAAGCAATATTTTTAGTTGCTGGAGAGAAAAGTACTACTTTACAAACCATTGGTTTTGCCTAACTTTATTCATATCACTTGTTAGATTATAAATCGAATTTTTTGTACTGAATTGATGAATAAGTAAATTAGTAAAAAAATGTGTAATTAGATTTCTTATAATAAAATTAGCAATAAATATTTATAATTGGCAGTTCTATATTTAATTCTAATTGGGTTTTGAAATTTTTTATTACAATATTTAAAATGGGAATTATTTTTTTTTTCTTAAATTAAAATTTTTTGGTAGTATTCTACTCTACTAATTTTAATATGAAATTTAATTGAATAATATAATATAGTTCTTGAAATTATTTGGGAAAGGTTCTTCAGAGAGAAGTTCATCTAAAAATTGGATTAAATTGCCAAATCAAGTCTTTTTATACTATCGTTTAACACTTAAATTGAAGAAAATGTTTTCTTTTTTCCGAAAACCCAACAAGATATTTCTGCATATAAAATTTCCTTTAGATGGAAAATTTAGATAGAAGATCTTTTAAAAGTTTTTAACTTTAAACTTTCAAAAGAATAAATTATTTGTGACGATTCAACTTAGCCAACTATTATACTTAACGAGCAATATTATACTTGATTATTTTTGACTTTAATAAAATTTTTAATTTAATTCCTTTTAATATTGTGCAAGAAAAAATATCAATCTTTAAATTTTATTATACTCTTATGATATAAATGGAAAATGGAGGAAAAAATCGATGTTCAATAAAAGAAAAAGAGAGGTAAACTAAACCAAGTCAATATTTCTGGAAAATGGTCAGTGATAATGGAAATTTATAATAAGATTTAAAATTTATCAATATCAAAAATCAAATAGGTGAAAATTTATGAATTTATTTCTAATGAATGAATTGTACTTTATTTCATCCTTGCTACGCAGTAATACGATATGATTGTTAGCCTATTTATTAATCTATGCAGCTCATTAATAATAGGCATTATAATATTATGTGACAAATATTCAAAATCTTAGTATTCATGTATAATATACCTAAAACAAATTATAATATTATATTATTAACATGTGGCATGTTAAATCGTTTCATAATTGCTTGGTATATATGTGAAAGTAAAATAAATGAACTGATTTTAAGGGTTGATTGCCTGAGTTAAAACATGTTGTCGGACGGACGGACGGACAGATTGAAACTAATAAGCACTTTTTTTCAAAAATTTTTTGGAAAAATGTTGAAAATTTCCAACAAAATACACAAATTCGACTTACTAAAAACTAGTATAACACTATTTTTTATTTACTCTTCCATTTTTTTTTGTAAATAAATTTCTTTAAGCAAAAGCATGATGTACAAATGTGAAACATACAAATTATGTACATAATATACATACAAACATTTCATATTTGCAATACATATATGCAATTCCTATTCCTGTGGTTTCAAAGGCAATATGCTATCATACAGTGTACAAAATAGTGTATACATCTAAAGTATACATTTCGAGTTGTATGTAGAAAATATTTTTGAAAAATTTTTAATATTCAGGTCAGGTCAGAATATGTGTTCTCTTTTTTATCCTCAAGTAAATAAATTCTATTTGTCGATTTGTTGGTTTTTTAAAACTTATTAAATACTTGGTTTGATTTGATAGAAAAAGGATTACTTTCAATATGGAATTGAAGAATAAAAAATTGTCAACAAAATCATTTGCTCATTTTATAAATAAATAATGAAATGAACTTGATTTTATGAAATAATCAAATGATTTTTCATTTATTTCACATATTTTATAGTTTTTCACATTTAATTTGGGTTGAAAAATATTTTTGTGGTAATTTTATTATTATACTAATTGAATAGTGACATGAAATATTTATTAATAGAGATTTGTTGCAATTATTTTACAAAAAAAGCTCATGAAATAGTTTAAAATCAAATTGGTACAAAATTACAATTTATTATTAACCCTTTTTACATTCTTATTATTGATATATATATGTATATATATAAGTACAAACACTATACTGTATAAAAATTTTTCAAAATTATAGAAGATGAAGAATACAAATGTACATAATATTTGCTGCATATCTAAAATTTCTCACACAATTTTAGTTTACATCTAAAATCTAAATCTAAATACAAGATCTTCTCCTAAATGTATGCAAAATTTTTATAAGGTTTAATACTGATTTCATTACTGCATCTATAATTATTGAAGAAGAATATTAATTTTTGAATAGTTAATTAGTACTTCAGCAACATCTTATAAATTTTTCTAGTAATAAAATGAGTATATCAATTACAAATTATTCAAAAATTTTATATAGCTAGACATTAAGAAAACTAATTAAGCGAAGCTCACCAAATTTTCACAAATTAATTATAATATTAAAAATGTCGAGTCTTATTTAAATCAAATGTGATCGTGGCTGCGGTTCGGGTACCTGCCCTACAACTTCAAAAGTTGTTTGGCTATATTTCACAAATTATTGAAGCTATAATATAAAAATTTCGGAAAATTTCGCAAATGTATTATTGGGACTTCTTATATGTGATAAGAATCGTTGAAATTTTTTGACTTGTGTTGGTAGCTGTCATAAAGTCGAAGTCATAAAAGTTCGAAATTGCAGTTCTGAAAATCTCGAAAAACGAATAAA